CCATGTGGTCTCCTCCGGGGCAGGCGGCAGGCGGGAATCGAACTCATGTGGAAGTGGCTTCAGATTCTTAGTGCTGTGCTTTAACCCGCTGCGCCACCAGGGAGGGCCCAGAGTAATTTTTTATGATTGTATTTATTGTCATGCTTCTGTTTAATAGCCTATCTTAATAAATAATGTAAATTATCCTATTCTTGCTGTGACTTTTGGACTCTGAAAGTGACCTTACAAATAGAAGACCCTTCTCTTCAGTAAGAATTCTGTCTCTAGGTCTTTATATTTAAAAATACTTTTCTCTCACTGCTGCTCTCTCAAGACCTGTTTTTTCTTCTAATTGAAATTTCTTATACTTCCATATTCTTGGTTTTCTTTCTTTCCTTTTTTTTTTTAACTGCTTATGATTGCTGATATCTTATTTCAGATTTTTACACTTATAAGAACTTGGTCCATTAAAGATGCTTAGTTCTTTACTAGTCCCAGGGTCTTATTCAAAGTTGATTTAAGGGACCCTGAACTTTTCTGGGTTTTGTGCAACTTCAGCTTAAGGCTGTTTAATCAAGACAATTCCACTGTAGGGAAAATTCACCTTTTAATGAAATGGGAACCTTGAAAGTCAAATTAAAAGTTTACTATTTAGTTATTGAAGCAAATTGTCTCACCTCCCCCCCCTTGCCTTTCTTCCTTCCCTCACCTTCCCTCTGCCCTCACCTCCCACTTCCCTCACTACTCTCCAACCCTCATCACCCCCTTACCTTCTTCCTCCCCTCACCTACATTAACCAGAATGGAGTTTGAGGTGAATAAACTGCAGCTTTGGGGAAGCTTGAAGACATGCTCCCCTGAGTCCTGGGCCTGCAAAAGAACAACAGACCCTGCTTGATTTGGGCCCCAGGTAGGTGACTTTACCATTCTGATACCCCAGAAGGCATGTGACTGTGTGCACAAATGGCTTGGTTTGGGAGGGCTTTGCTTCTTGGTGTAAGCACTTTTACTTGCTGTTTCACCCCCAGGCAGTTCCAGGCAGCCATCTCCTCCACTTCAAGTCAGTACCTTCTTCTTGCAGGGTGCTTGCTACTTACTCCTCTGCAGAGCTGCACCTGCCTGACGGAAGCTTCAGTTTCTTCTACCTGCCAGGTAGACACGAATATGCTGTGGGCAGGTTGTGTTTTATGTCTGTGGCCAAAGAGCCAGCACCTGCCTGGTCCTGGTTGTCGACCTTTTGAAGATCCCTCTAAAATAGCACGTCCCCTCTTTCTTTCTGTCCATTATTGCAAGTTCATGACTAATTTTCTAGTGGTTAAATCTGTGTCTCACCCTCAGTTCTCTTAGGACTTTTTGAGACTTCTGCCAATTAATGGCTATATTTAGATGCTGCTCTCCTCAAGACCTTCTGTTATTTCCTGTAATTGTAGTATCTGATACTTTAATACCCTTGGTTTTCTTTTTCTTTTCGTAATGGAAGTTGGTATTTTTTTTTTAAAGATTTTATTTATTTATTCATCTGGAACTGGGGTACAGGCCAGAGATGCAGAGGGTGAGAGGATTCACCAGAGACAGAGTGGGGAGCAGAACAGGCAGATCGACGAAGTACACTGCTGAGGGGAGCAGCGGGCGGGTCAGGAGAGGTCTGCCTCGCCATGTGGACTTCTCCGGGGCAGGCGGGAATCGAACTCATGCGGAAGTGGCTTAAGCTTAGTAGTGCAGTGCTTTAACCCGCTGCGCCACCAGGGAGAGCCGGAAGTTGGTATTTATCTGGTGAATATTGTTTTCTGACTTTAACCAATTGGTCTTTAAGAAGACTGCCTTTACATATTACCCAGCCTATTCCCAGCTTTCCATTCTAAATCTCTTGCCTATATTT